GACAATCCCTACTTGTGCTTGGTGCGTAGGAGGCCTCATGAGATATTGGGACTGGTAGCCGAGGCCCCACAAGACTTAGACACTATTAGTATATTTATCGTAGTTGAACTGTTTATATTTAAAGGATTCTAGAGTTAGAGAATTTTTTTAAATATAAAGCTGTTTTGAAATTTTTGTTTGTTTGTTTTAAGTAGGCCCCGTGCCCAATGTGGGGCTTGAACTACCCTAAGATCAAGAGTCACATACTCTACTGACTGAGCCAGCCAGGCACCTCTAGAGAATTTTTTTTTAAAGGCATTTCTTATTTTAAACTCCAAACAAGTAGGAACGTTCCTCCTACCCAGTGTTTACTGGTAGAATGGGTAGATTTTATTATAGAACCTGGAGGGGATTCTACAAGAGTCTTCAGTCTTAGGCGAAAAGGGATTTTAGTAATTTTTTTTTTTTAAGTTTATTCATTTTGAGAGAGAAAGAGAGAGCGAACAGGGAAGATGAAGGGGGAGAGGGAGAGAGAAAATCCCAAGCAGGCTCCACGCTGTCAGCATAAAGCCTGACATGGGGCTTGAACTCAGGAACCATGAGATCATGACCTAAACTAAAACCAGAAGTTGGACACTCAGCCAACTGAGCCACCCAGGCACCCCCAGACAAATAGGGATTTTAGATTAGAGCCTTTGATTCATCCAGGATTCATTGGAGCAGCACGGTAAAGCAGGAATGGCATGGACGGGAGCCAGACTCCTTCAGCAAAGGCTATGCTACTCCTTCCGTTGAGGGCTCTGCCCACCACCCTTGGATCTGAAGAACCCAAGGAGCAGAGTGTGTCCCCCTAGAAGTGTTCTCAGTGGATCATCCGTGGGCATTGGACATTTCCTTAAGTTTATCGGACGTGTGAGAGGGAAGACAGCCCCTCCTTTCTTTGAGGTGCTCCCAACCTGGGGGAGGGAGACATGGGCAGACCTGCAGAAACTGAGTGACAGCACAACCTGGCCAGGGCTGCACAGCACAGACGCAGCGTGGGCGGAGACTGGGTCCCATTGCCGGGAGCCGAGGTGCGGAACCAGCACCCACTGGTGAGGGAAGTGAAGGCAGTGCCCGCGCCCAGCGTGTTGATGATGTGGTTGTTTGAAGAGTTCTCAGACAGTACTTCCCAATTTGTAAACTGTTTTCTGAAACCCAGCTGACATCCATTTTGTTGAAATATCTCAACAGAGTTGATTTTATTAATAGCTAAATCGCTTGTTTTCTTGGGTGCTTTCTCATGCTCACAAAGCCCTAGTTTGACAGAGAAGGTGGCTTTGACAGCTTCTCGCAAAGGTAACTTTTTCTGCCTCCTAAGGGCAATTTATTTTAATTTAAAAATTACTTTAGGGGCACCTGGGTGGCTCAGTTGGTTAAGTGTCTGACTTCGGCTTAGGTCATGATCTCACCGTTAGTGAGTTTGAGCCCCGCGTCAGGCTCTGTGCTGACAGAGCCAACTTGGGATTCCCTCTCTCTCCCTCTGCCTGTCTCCTTTCTCTTTCTCTCTCTCTCTCAAAATAAATAAACTTTAAAAAATAAAAATTACTTTAAATCTTGAGATGAAAATATGTTAATTCTTGAACCTAATGATGTGACATTCTCCTCAAATTCACAAAAGCTAACCTGATCATGTGCCATTCAAAGTATAGTTACAACAGCTGTGGCAGAGAGTTCCAGAGTTGCTCAACAAGGTTGAGATTAGTTTGTGCCAGCCTCATTATGGGCAGGTGGACCAGCATGGCGGGCAGCTCTGAGGACTCTGGCCGGTGGGTGGCTCTTACCAGCTTTAGCATGTGACTGCCATCTCTGGGTGTGTGACAGCTGTGTTGGCTGGGGGACAGCAAACAGCTTTTGAAAGAGGAGGAAGGAAGGAAGGAGGGAAGATAAAATGGTTGGATGGATGGATGTGAAGTGGCATATGTCACTCTGCTTACATCTCATCAGCCAAAAGCTGGTCATCTGGCCACACCTGGCTGCCATAAAGCAGCTAGGTGTCCTCTCTTGCTGGGCAGCCATTTGTCCAGTGGGCACAGGGAGGCTTGTGTTACTGAAACAAAGGAGGGAGCAGTGGATCTGGAGGACATCAGCAGCCTGTGGCCGTCGTGCAGGCACTGCACACTCACCTGTCCGAGGCCAGACTCGCAGACTGCGTGTGTCTCCTGCCCACCTCCCACTGCTTTACCTGCATTCCTCCTCATCTTCTGGGCAGCAGGTCGCGCACGTTCTTCCTCCATGGTGTGCATTTACTTCTTTTTCCCACCCGCCACAACCCTGCTGTGTTTTGGCTGCTCTCCCTGTCCCTGTCTGTCTTAGCCCTGCCCACCCCAGTCCATCCCTTTCGCAGCTTCCCGAATGACCCCTGAGCAGAGCAAGCCAGAGCGCGTGCCTCTCTGCTTTGATGGCTCCACAGCCCTCAGGCCCAGGTCCAGATGGCCCCCAGCGACTTCCAGGGCCTGTGGTGATCTGGCCTGGTTTCTTCTCTCCAGCTTCTTTCCCCCGCTGCCCAGCAAAACTAACTCTCAAACAACTTGTCACACCCAGAAGCCACTTCCACCTCTCGGCACAAGCTCCCTCATTTCCCTGCAGCCCGGAGCCTTCTCTGTCCTCCTGGTTTAGGCGTCTCCTTGTGTTGGGGCTCTTCCTGAGCGTGCCCACAGTGTATGCTCTCTGCCAACTCACCAGGGGCAGGCACACTGGCTGTTCCCGCATAGGACTTTGTCCACAGTGGTGTCAGCAAGTGCTTTTTGGATGACTGGCAGTGCTGGCATATTGCAATTGGGCAAAGAACCAGCAGAATGTAGTGGCTGCCTGCCTTTTTGCCGAGTTCCGTCTCTGAACCTTTGCACTCACACCCCAGGAGCCAATTCTGAGCAGTTAGCTCAAGCTCTGCACCTCAGCTGTCTGTCTCTGGCAGAACAGTCTAGATGCCACCTCCTCCATGAAGCTCTCCTTGTCTTCTGCACCCCTGCCAGAGGGTAGGACCTGTTTTGCCTTGGTTTACATTTTGCTTATGCCCTTATGTTATTATAACTTGTGTTACGATATTCCCCCAACTAGTGGATTATATGCTGCTTCAAGATGAGCTGAGCTTGCTTTATCACCTTGTTACCTGCCACGTCTTATACAAAGGCACCCCATAAACGTTGAGTTGAATTGTCTCAGCCCCATAAAAACTGTTAAAGATTGATCTTTAGAAATAGATATTCCTTCAGATGTCAATAAAATGCAGCAGCCTCGTGAGGGAATCATTAGGTACTGAATTATGGGTCAGAGCAGCAAGAGTTTATTGACTGCTTCTACTGTGGCCCTGTCCCAGCAGCGTGAGATGCCACAGTAAGCAAAGCAGACCTGTCCTCACCCTCCGGGAGCTTAGGGCCCCTCCTCACCGCAGCATGGCGTGGCCGAGCTGTTTAGCTCACCATGTGGCAGGGGCTGATCACCCGCTGTGGGTTGCCACGAGCAGTGTGTTGTTCATCTAATGCAGGCTGGCCTCCCGGAGGCACTCCCCGGCCGGTGTACAGCACATTCAGTCATAGCCGCTGGTGGTGCTAACTGCTGTGCCTCAGCTCCTGCCTGGAGAATGGTTAAAAGGGGTGGGGGGCGGGGGCTGGGTGGTTCAGTCAGTTGCGTGTCTGACTTTTGATTTCAGCTCAGGTTGTGATCTCATGGGTTCATGGGTTCAACTCCCCAGTCAGGCTCCATGTTGAGCATGGAGCCTGCTTCGGATTCTTTCTCACTGCCCCTCCCCCACTTGCTCTCTGTATCTTTCCCAAAACTAATAAGAATAAACTTAAAAAAAATGGAGGGGGGTGCGGGGGTGAAGCAGTAGTCAGTTGGAGAAACTCTTCATTTGATTTAAATGAATTTGTTTAGGCTTATTATTTATTAATTGATTTATTTCCATAGTTTAATGGAAATTCTAGGCGGCACTGTGTTGAAATACAAATTATCACTACAGAGAACTCAGCAGGTAGGCATTAAATATTAGATGGTAGAACAAACAAGAATTTGCTGAGGCTGTAGAATAAAATTTAAATGCCATGTTTTTAAACAGCATACAATGTTTACCTCTGTGGCTTTATTGTTGGCTTTTTAATTTTTTAAAAAAGAGCCAAAGAAATCGTTTGCTGACTTTTAAATAAACGTCTTCAAACAAGGGATCCAAATCAATGTAACTATCTGCTGATTTCTGTTTGCTTGTTTTCTGTATAAAATTCCACAGGCTCTTGCAGGGCGAGGGTCTCAGCCTATTGCCCAAGCCACCAGTTTATACGAGTTCATTATGAACTATCGCCAGAGCCTCCATGTTAACGACCACAGGTTGCAATGGTTCTCTGGCTACAACTGTATTGAGCCCACCAGGAATGTGGGGTTTGGGGAATGCGGGCCAGCTCTAGGACCATGGTCAGGAGGCCAGAGCACATCCGTGGGCATGCATGGCCACACACCCATGTCACCAGGCCCAACGCCCCATCGTTCCATGACTTCCTCCTTTTACAATCTAGATATGTAGTAGGACTTGCTTTCTGCTTCATCATTTCACCTGAATTTGTGGACTTAGAAGACTGGCCCATTTGTGTTCTCTGCAGGAACTGTAGACAGAATCCCTTGGAGACCTCTCCTGAGTGCCTTCATCCCTGGGTGAGGCAGCCAGAGAATCATTCAGTGACATAATCCTGTTGTGTCTAGCAAAAATGGGCAAATAAAAGAAGGGCTGTTATTTTCAAGTCCGCTCCCTTAAAATGTGGCCATGTGGGGTCTCAACGTCCCTTCTTTTCACGATGGTCTTGTGCCTCTGAAATGTCATTGCATTTTTTTGTTTCTTGTTTGTTTCGCACTTTGTTCAGGACTTGGTCTAACCAAGTTTATCAGCTTACAGCCACGTTGTCTTACTTACCAATAAGGTGGCAACCCTGTGAAGTGAGCTGTGCCTGTATCATCTCAGAAAGAGTGCATGTTCATTCTGTTTCTCTTTTAAGGAGCCCAACGATTGTACCAGCTCTTTGGAATATTCTATGATACTACATCATGAGTGACAGTAAATGTGATAGTCAGTTTTACAGTGTGCAAGTGGCAGACTCAACTTTCACTGTCCTGAAACGTTACCAGCAGTTGAAACCAATTGGCTCTGGAGCCCAAGGGATTGTTTGGTAAGTATGGTCTGTTTCAATAGCGTGGACTGAGTTATTGTCATAATAAAAACCCAAGAAAACTAAATTGTCAGAACTTAGAAACGCTGATGGTAAAAAAAAAACCCAAACCCTCTTTTCTTTGCAATAGGTTTTTGAACTAAATCGAATCAAGCTCTTGTTCTAGTTATATGTAGTCATATTGTAGGATACAGACCTCAATTCTTAGAATACTGCATAAATTTACATAGGTTGTGATTTTTCTTTTCCCTTTGTTTCTTTTTTCTTTTCTTTTCTTTTTTTTTTCCCATTCCCCCTGTCATTAGATTCTAGAGTAATAGGTATAACAGTGAGTTATAACAGATATTTGGAGTTTTATTCATTTCTTCATCCTGGCCACCCCTCCCTCCTCCCCCTTTTATCCCCAATCACTCCTATTCATTTCTAGGCGCCGTCACTGCAGTGCCTTACCCTTCATTGGCAGGATGAGGCCAGTCAGTGTCATTATCACCCCATGGATTAACCAGGAAGGGCTGCTGTGTGAGGGGTTGGGCTGGCCGTCTCTTCCTTGGTGTCTCACTTCAGCCATGTGTCCAGCCCGTCAGAACCGTTGGTCTGACCCTGAACCTTAGTCTCTTGCATGGTAAGACAGTCAGCTGCCGCGACATCACCGGCCAGCTAAAGGTAAAGTCTTTCACGTGTTTTCTAGACTACAGTTATCAGCACTTCCCAAACTTTTTAACCCGTAGTTTTCTGGGCAAGACTTTTTTTTTCTTTCTTTTTTATTTTTTTTCTTTCTTTTTTTGGGTCAATAAAAACAAAGTTGTCTTTGCATCTAAAAGAAACTGTGATGGAGCTAAATATCCACTGTTTACAACTTGTAGGCAGAGGGGATTCAAGATAAATGAGGACTCTGCCAGATGTTCTGGCAGGGGGCTTAATGTGCTCATTAGAGATTTTGAGTCTAGAATCAGTGGTTTGTAATTAACTGATTCTCCATTCAGGAGACCTGAGATCCTGGAAGTCAGTTGTTTCCTTCAGCCTGTGGGTGGTTGGAGCCCTGGAAGCAAAGAGGAGATGACTGTTCAGAGCTTCACAGAAAAACTAACGTAGGAGAAGGGGCTCTTTGGGAGGAATGCTCAGCCTGGGTCTAAAATAAGGGTGATCTTAATTTCCAGACAACACACTGTATTGGTATTTAAATCCATTGTGCCAAAAAAAAAAAAGTTTTAAAGTCAATGGATGGTTCAGATGAGGACACTTTGATAAGTATAAAAAGTTCTAGACAATAAAACATTGATTTATAATCCATCTCTTATTTGGATTTGCATAGTAATTTGATCTAGGTAATTTGGCAAGGCTGGTATTAACAACGTTTAATGTAATAACCACATTGAGAGGCTGACTCCCAGTGTGGTTCATAAGTAATTGTAAGTAAAGTTCATGAGTAAAAAATGTTCATAAGTAATTGCAAAACAGAAGGTTTTGTAAATGGGAGGCAGTTAAAATTAATGACTTCATGACAGCATGGTAAATAACAGTAAAACCACATGCTACTTTATAAAATACCATTTTTCAAAGGTTGGTTTTGACTTCTAGGTTGTATACGCTACTTTTTATCCTTAATTTTTATAGACATGTTTAATAATGAAATTATTCATCATGGATGTGTATTTTTTATTTAAAAAGTTTTAGTTTTGAAACAGATGTTCCTAACATGCCATTATAAGCTAAACCTCATCTGAGAAAAGCAGTGTCAAAATTATAGGATGGAAAGTTCTGAATTAAAAAAAAAAAAATTTGTTGGGGCACCTGGGTGGCTCAGTTGGTTAAGTGTCCGACTTTGGCTCAGGTCAGATCTCATGGTTCATGGGTTCGAGCCCCACATCAGGCTCTGTGCTGACAGCTCAGAGCCTGGAGCCTGTTTCAGATTCTGTGTCTTCCTCTCTCTCTGCCCCTCCCCAACTCATGCTCTGTCTCTTTCTGTCTCAAAAGTAAATAAACTATAAAAAAAATTTAAAAAAATTTTGTTAAACTCAGAGTCCAGAAATAAACCCGTACATTTATGGCCAGTTGATTTTGGAAAGTGCGCCACGGTCGTCCAATGGGGAAAGAACAGTCTCTTCAACAGATAGTGCTGGGGCAAGTGGATATCCACATGCAAAAGCCATGTCCATGTGTTGGACCCTTGCTTTACATCGTGTAAAAGGTTAACTCAAAATGGATCATTGACCTAAATGTAAGCACTAGAAGCATAACACTCTTAGAAGAAACCTGGGGGAAGCTTAATGACTTTGGATTCTTAGAAATGACACCAAAAGCATGAACAACAAAAGAACAAATTGGACTCCATCAAAATTAAAAACTTTGGTGTATCAAAGGACACTGTCAAGAGAGTGAAGAAACCACCTACAAAATGGGGAAATGTTTGCAAATCATATATCTGGTAAGCGTCTAGTATCCAGAATGTATAAACTTACAACTTTAAGAAGACAGCCCAATTAAAATAAAAAAACAGGTAAAGGACTTATATAGACATTTCCCCAGAGAGGATATAAAAATAGGTAATAAGCACATGCAAAGATGTTCAGCATTAGTGATTTGGGAAATGAAAATCAAAACCACAATGAGATACTACTTCATACCCACTAGGATGGCCGTGATCAACCCAACAGAAAAGAACAAATGTTGACAAGGGTATGAAGAAGGTGGGAGCCTCGTGCGATGCTGGTGAGAATGTAAGATGGTGCGGCCACTTGTGGAAAACAGTTTGACGGATCCTCAACACAGAATTACCACGTGACCCAGGAACTACGCCTAGGTATATACCCCAAAGATTAAAAACCAATGTTCCAACAAAGACTTGTACACAGACTTGTAGCAGCAATATTTGCAGTAGCCAGAAGGTAGAGACAGCCCAAATGTCCTTCAGGAGATGATGAATAGATGCACAAATTGTGTTCTGTGCACAAACGGGGTCTGATTCATAAGAGGAACAAAGCCCTGACACATGCTACGAGGACGATCCTCAAAAGCACGCCAAATGAAAGAAGCCAGATTTTTGTGAGATATCCAGAGTAGGTGGGTCCATGGGGGCGGATGTAGACTGGTGGTTAGCAGAGGCAAGAGGGAAGGGGGATGGGACAGTGCTTGCTGGGTATGGGCTTTCCTCTGTATCTTTTGGAATGATGTGTCCACACAACATGGTGAATGGACCAAACCCCACCAAATTGTTCACTTTCACATGGTTAATTTTGTGTGTATGTGAATCTCACCACAAACATATTCTTTAAAAAAAGAAAAGCAAACTGGGGCGGCGGGGGGGAGCTTGGGTGGCTCAGACTTGATCTCAGAGTTGTGAGTTTAAGCCCCACGTTGGGTGTGGAGCCTAGTTTAAAAAAAAGAAAAGCAAACTGGAAGGTGCCTTACAGCAAGGCTGTTTTGTCATTTTGTCATTTGGATATTTAACTCCTGATACTAAAGTATCGTATGTAATGATATTTTTACACTATGTTGTGTATAAAATATGTTCCCATTTCCCTGTAGTAGCTTGACTTATATATTGACAGAATCTTAATAGAAAGTCACTTAAATCTTCATGTTTTCCTTTACGTGATTTCATGACAATTTTGTTAATACTTGTGAGGGCAGCTTTTATCCCCCATGTAGAAAGGTAGGCAGAAAGTAGTATTCAGGGGGTAAAACCCTGATGCCATTTTAAATTTCCTCCCTTGCAAATTCCCATTCCCATTAGCCTGAGTTTTGATTGTAAGGCAAGATCAAAGGCTGGGTTTTTGTTGTTTTCTGCTCAAGAAAGAAGTCATTACTTGGAATTAATTAAGCGTAATTAATTAAAACTTAATGGGCCCATGCACAGCTAACATTTTATCTCACGATTTTCGAGGTCACTCTTTCACTTACCTTTCTAACCCAGCCAGTTACTTGTTACCAAAGCAACGCCTGTGGGGCTGACTTCACGCGACATGTGGAGAAGGGGTTAGTTACTTGATTCGGATGACTGAGGTCTTCTGGTAGAGATGTTTGTACAGCTGTGAAAATCCTTGGGCTTCTGGGATGTTTCATCCATTGGCCTTCAGATGGAGTGCCATCCTGGGAGCTGGGCCCACATGGTTGGAGACCTGCCTTCTGTCATCACGTTGTTGCCTCTTTCCCAGAGCCCGTGTGGCCTTACCGTCGGCCAGCCAGGCAGGTGGCTACTCCTCACCTCCCTGCTGGGCTTGAGGCTCCAGGGTCCCCTTGAGCCGCAGCAGTGGTGATCCTCAAAATGAGAGAGTACTTCCCTGTGATGCTCCACCCCCGCACCCCCTCCCGTCTTCTGAGGGTTTTTTCCTGGATCTGTTTTGCACAGCATCTTGGATATTGGCATTCTGCTTTGAGGGCCTCAGAAGAAAAGTGTTCAGGACATGGTGCAAGGAGAGGATCTTTCACCTTGTTTCGTTGCATGACTAGAACAAGAAACTTCTAATGGTGCCAGTCAGACCCCTTTCTTCCCCCCAAACAGAAGGGCCTGAGTATCCCCCCACCATCAAGCCCTGACTTCTAGGTAACTGGTTCTCTGCAGCAGTTCTTTCCCTGCAAGCACGACCATGACTTTTGTCCCTGCTGCATGTCCTGGTTGGATTGTCCTCAGAAGCCCATCAGTCTTTAAGACACTGTCGCTGGTCTTTCAAGACTAATCTCGTCTGTGAAATGTCCCCAGCTAATCTCAACTCACATTTAGAATAGAGCCTCCTCTCTGATTGAACCAAATGCTTGATTGATGTGCACATGTGCACGTGTGCTTGCATGCATGTACACACACATACACACATACACACACACACCCCAGAACTAGAAGACAATAGATTTGTGTTTTAAACCAAATTTGTGGTAACTTGTTACTACAGCAATAGGAAACTAACGAGAGGGGAGGGGATATGTTTTCTTACATTTTTGAAAAGAAAATATAGTAGCAATAGTGCATGGTTTATAAAACTTGTTAATTGTCGGGGCGCCTGGGT